ACGTGCAGCAAGTCCTCCGACCAGCTGCACCAGCTGGCCCATTTGCTGTCAGCGAACTGATCTCAGACCGCATGCTGTCTATCTGCTCGCTGCTATTTGTGTCTCCTGCCTGCGAGCCGTCCGGAGTGGTCCCTCCGGTTCTGCGGCCCGCCATCCCTAATGGACTCCCTCGAGGGAATAAACACTAGTGTGTTGGTACGNCGTACCCCCCCGTGCTGCTAGCAGATCTACCATGCTCGTATCCAGACACACGAACAGTTCGTAGGGCAGAAGCTAAAGGCATCATCGTTTTCAACAGCATCAGCCAAGAAAAAGGGGAGGGCAGCATCTAACCCGCCAGCAGGAACCCACAACATCAGCAATGCCTTCGCTAAAGCCAGTGGCAAACCGGTGCGTAGAATATGTTTGTGTGTGCCGACGATAGGGTCTCGCGCGATACTTGAAAATATATTCAGCGCCACCTAGATGCGGACAGACCAGTTTTTTTTTTCAAATGACTCCCGGGTTTCCCCGTCCACCAATTTTTTCCCGTTTGGGCCGATTTTTTCCGGTTGGGCGATTTTTTTCCGTCTGGGCCGGGTCCCGACGGAAAAATCCACCGGGTTATTTTTTGAGGATTTTCATTTTTTTTTGCCGGAAGAAATACGCCAGCAACTTTTTCCGTCGAGGACGGGACGAAGCGGCACGTGCGAGCACACGCAATCAAGCGCTCCCTGCGCAGAAGGATGGGCAGCGGAGACTGGGGTTTCTTTCACAGCAACGTGTGTGCAGTTGTTGGGTCGGTATTCGGGCGCGCGAGAAGGTTCTTGATGCCCGCGTGCGGCGGAAGAGCAGCTCGCGTTTTATTTTGAACTGGATCATCTTTGATCGAGGTAGGAGGGCCTTTGGAAGAGGAGAGAGGATCGCGGCTCAGCGCGAGGCGGCAGGAGCCCAGGCGGCAAGCGCCCGGCCGTCTATGAGTGGGTAGGAGGAGAAGGAGGACGGGGATTCCCTGAGTGGTTGCATGGACAGCAGTGCGACCGGAGTGGAGAGCGACTCCGGCAGCAGCTCCAGCTTGGTCGTAGACGTGGTCCCTACCTCGCGTGCACGTGGAGGAGGTACGCAGGAAGTCAGCAGTGAAGCCTCGTCACCTTTGTCGAGGGGTTCGAGCATTTCGCCTCCCACTCGTTCATCCCCGCGTCTGCAGCGTAGGCGAGGCGAGAACGCGCCAGAGAACGACCCTTCATCTCCATCGAGTGGCGCAGACGAGTCGACATCATGGAGTGGTTCAAAGGCTCCGTCATTGAGAAACCGTTTGTTCTCCTCAACAGGCACAGGTCGAGCCGCCCGTCCACCAGGTGTTTTTTTTCCGTCACTTTTTTCCCGGTAAGCAGGCTAAACGAGTATTTCTAACGGGTTTCTATGGGGAAACCCGTGAATGTCTTTTTGTTTTCTTTTGGTGTCCAAAAGACACATTTGCGTCTACATGTATGTATTGTTGGCATCGAATGCTCTGTGTTGTGAGTGTCTCTTTCGGTTTGCGTGAGTTCTCTTGCTGTTCTTTGTCTTCGATTTGCGTCATACCGGTGCTGCTGTGAACCACGTGAATGATCCCAACACTTGATATTATTGTTGAAATGCCGCATAAAAATGATTTTCGAGCCGCTTTTGCACGAAAAGCGTACGTACATTGTCAAGAACATGTCTGTAGCAGTAAGTCGCCAGCGTGCCTCCGTACCAGGTTCGCCTCTTTTTTTGTCAACCCTTTCCGACATGCGTCTTCCTACATGCTGCTGTGCTGGCCTTACCCGCGGCAGCACTCTTTGTTGAACGAGCTTATGTTGCTATCTTTCAAACAACAAATAATAAACTCAAGCAGGAATGAACAATACTACCGTCCTCCGATGCCCTCCCTCCCCCATTTCTGTGCAGGTAGTGCGTACGCGTGGGGACGGCAGCACGGAGGAGATCACGAGCATCAATTTCGCCGCGCCTCCACCGCCTCAACCGACAGTGCCTTGTACGAATGCAACCGTCGTTTCGTCAACACCCAGGGCCTTGGGGTGCACATNTGCTATCTTTCAAACAACAAATAATAAACTCAAGCAGGAATGAACAATACTACCGTCCTCCGATGCCCTCCCTCCCCCATTTCTGTGCAGGTAGTGCGTACGCGTGGGGACGGCAGCACGGAGGAGATCACGAGCATCAATTTCGCCGCGCCTCCACCGCCTCAACCGACAGTGCCTTGTACGAATGCAACCGTCGTTTCGTCAACACCCAGGGCCTTGGGGTGCACATCATCAAAACTGACCACGAGCGTGAAGCGAAGATCTCAGTTCAACGGTGGTGTTCAACGAACAGGAAGGGGGCGGGGGTATCGTCTCTCCTCCGTTGGGGTGGGACACCGTCAGGACGTTGCTGGCACGTTGCGTTTCACCATGGAGAGAGTCGCGGATGCGGCGCGACATGTCCGTCAGGGTCCGTGACGTTTGTGCTGCAGCCTGTACGCCCTGGAGTCGAGCGGAACAACAAACCTCGCGAACGACGGCTTTTCACAAACGGAGTCGCCGCCAAAGAAAACGTGTGGGGCAGCCTCGATGAGACGGTACACCTCGCGCGAGAATGTCGGTGTTATTCAGGAGCTGCGAGATCTAGAGTCGCGGTCAACGGAGGTTCGTGCGCACTTCGGTATGACCCCTCTCTTTTGCTTGGAACATAAGTCAGGGATCTCGGCCGGCAATATCTGCAAATGGCAGAAGGATGAAGACTCTCGTGCAGCAGGCAGCTGACAAGGTGCGGAGTAGTCTGATGGCGACATGCACTCAACGGCGGCTGTGGTTCCCTGACGCGGAGAAGAAGCTGTACAAGATGTCGCTTGCACGACGCAAGAGGAAGCTGCGGGTCTCGACAAGGTGGATCACGGTCACTTTCAAAAAGCTTATCATGGAAAGGTACCCACAAGATCCACGAGCAAAGGCATTCCGGCCGTCCTTCCGGTTCGCGCAAAAGTGGGCGACGAGGCACTCGCTGTCTAAGCGGTGGCGGTCTAACTCCAAGAACAAGTCTGTGGCGGAGAGACTGCCGAAGATCCGGAAATGGCACAGGGAGTTCCGAAAGCTCCTTTTGGCCAGCCATTCCCCGGCTTGGAGAAGCGGCAGTGCACGGTGCAACCGACGATAGGAGCAGGCGGGAAAAAGATAAGGTGCGCGATCATCTTCCTAGGCAAAGGAACCGGCATCATCAAGGTGGAGAAGGCAGCATACGACAAGCGCGTATATGTCTTTTTCCAGCCCAAGGCCTAGGCCGACAGCGACTTCTGCATGCAATGGCTGGAGCGCTCTTTTCGCCCGAGCCGAATGGTAGACGGGAAGGTGCACGAGGAGCAGCCGCTTCTCCTCGCCGACAACCTGCACGGGCAGACAACTGAGGAATTCCGCAAGTACCTCCACAAGGAGTGCAACACGCTTCTTTGGCACCTGCCGGCAGGCTGTACGGACGAGGTCCAGCCGATCGACGCCGGCTATGGACAGCGGCTGAAGGTGGCTGTGGGGGTGCAGCTGGACAAGTGGCTGGACGCGGAGACAACCTGCAAAAGCGGGAGGCCAACGCATTGACGTGTTCCGAACGTCGCGTGTTGTTTACCAGTTGGGTGGCACAGGCGACCGAGGAGATCGATAAAGATGAGCAGTATCGGTTCCGTCTCTTCGAGAAAACCGGATGTGGAATGACGGCGGATGGCTCTGGGGACGACAAAATCAACCTCGAGGGCCTTTCCACATATTCCTTCATGGATATGGAGGGTGGCGCCAGCGCTGATGAGGAGAGCAAGGAGGATAAGGACACCGGCAAGGTTGACGTGGACCAGCTGTCGGAGGACTCCTCTTCCAGCGATGATGAGAGCGACGGTAAGTGATTTTGTATTTCGCGTTCATTCGGATCACAGAAGAATTACCCTTGCGGAAGAAACCTCCTCTTGTTGATACATTAATGAGTCTTGGAATCGTCCCGCTTCGGGAATCGCCACAACCATAGCCGATGATCCGCTGTGCCTTGTCAGGAGACGATGACAACGATAAGGACCCTGTAAGGTGAAGTCACACCACTAGACTAGTCAGCGCTGACTTAGTAGTCTAGACTAATAGGGTAAGCCTTACTAACAGAGGGTACACACTCGTCTCGTAGCCAATCCCAGTGGATCTGAGAGGGTGTTGTGTTCTCCGGGGACGGACCCCTCGCCACAAGATGCTGCTAGTAGCCGATAATGGTGCCTTGAAAGCGATCCACTGGGATTCGAACCCTTGCGTTAATTATTTATTCGATAAAGGCTGACCATTTGCCTACGTGCGCAGTCATCGATTGGTCTATCTAGTGGTGTAACGATAGACGATACAAGTTCCACGCACGGGTTCGATTCCCGGCTGCCTCGTTTTCCCAAATACAATTAAGCACTTTTCAGGAAGCGTCTGGCGAGGGGTTCGTCCCCGGAGATCCCTGCTCTCAAAAGGCCATAGAGACCCAAGTGATCCTACCGGGGGTGCTAATGAGCTGATCGTATATCTTTTGTAAGATAGAGTTACACCACTGGACTGGACTAGTCAGCGCTGACTTAGTGGTCTTGTGGGTAAGCCTTACTAACAGACCCGCTGACCCAGCTCGACGACTATGACGAATTGTCGCCTGAGGAAGAAGCGCTGAAGATGGACATCCCGGACGGGTTCCGACTCCAGGCGTCTCCACCACCGGCCCTCGATCAGTCGATAGTGAAGCGTGGGGTTCTCGTGAAACTCGGGTTGGGTTGGTTCGGAGGGTAATTAGTCGCAGATCTCACCCCTCTTCGCGGCAAGAGTACGACTATGGCGTCATCCCGCACTGTGACTAAAGCACGCGTAGCATGAAGATGCCGTTGGACTCGTACAACACGGATGAAGACGCTGCAATTGGGGCGTGGGTTCTCCTAGAGGTAGACCCAAAGGAAGGGATCGGGAGGCGCAAAAGGGTGATAACCCCCAATGTTCGCCTCACGGAGCTTGCAACATTATGACGGGGCAGTATTCGTTTTTGGCACGTCAGCGTGCGGGTGAGGCATCATGCGGTTTTTATGCATTTGTTTAGTTTCAGCCCTCACTCATGAGGGGGGTACAGGACCTTGTAGCGATAGCGAGACGTTGCCGCTGGATACATTACATTTCTAGGGTGGCCTTACGTGCAGCCGTCGGCAGTGAGAATCGGGGTTGAGTACGGGGGTCGAGGAAAGCAGTGCAAATCATTTGTATATTTGGAACGTTGTGTAGTATTCAAGCAGAGAAATAAGCAATTGCCGATTTAAGAAATTTCAGCAGGATTTGGCTGCACGAAAAAATAAGAAACTTGAAATAAGAAACTGAACGGCATACATACGCTGAGTTTATAGCCCACAATAAGAATGTGAGGCTGAATCTGAAATAAGCGTTTCTTAACTGCGGGCGCCAACTGTATGGATTTCCTGTAAGGCCGTTGTTTTTCCGGTCCAGTTTATCCGGTAGGGAATTCCCTGTAAGCTAAGTTCCTGTAGAAATTATCCGGTCCAGAGTCTGGCCGTATCGTGTCGATTCGACCCGGTGCGTAGTACCCCGTTCTTGTAGGAAAACTAACAACATTTCGGCAAAAATTGCTGGAAACCCTATTTCCAGCGCGCCGGCGGCGCTGACGGCGGTGTGTGCGTGTGTGCGTGTGAGCGTGTGAGCGCCGTGGTTGTGTTATAGTTGGACAGCAGCTCGCTGTAGCAGGGCGCTTACAGCCATGGGGCGACTAGCGCGAGGGAGGCTGGCAGCCGAGCGGTACGCGGAGTGCATACAACTCACCACGATCGTAGCTCTGTGTGCGCTTGTGGGAGAGGAAGACCTATCTATCTGCTTGGGACGTACAGCCTGCTGCGCTGGCGGATGTACGAGCAGCTCGTGGCAGCGACAACGATCTAGGGTATCCGGTTCGACTACTTCGAGAGGAAGATTCGATTTTAAGGAGCTGTTCAGGTTCGAGAAACCTCACTTCCTGGAGCTGTTGGACGCACTCCAGCTACCGGATATGTTCGAAGTGTCGCGGTGAGACATCCCGCTTGCGCTAGTTGTCGTACCACGTATTCTCCTTGGCAGGAGAAGCACCGAATCTAACCCCGACATGCTGTGGCGTGTTGCCCTCCTGACGTGTGGACGACGCAGCGGTACATTGGTCCAACTAGGGTTCTTGTCTGGTATAAAATCAGGTGGAAGTCGTAGGTATAAATTATCTCGCGGCGCGTCTAGCGTGGCAATTTCACGAATTGGGTGCATCCGCCACCACCGCGCCTTGTGTGCATACACATGACTCTCGCATCGAGCGACAGCTTTTTCCAAGAAGAGGGTCCATTCTTCAGCCTAGGTCGTACGCGCCCTTGGGTTGAATTAAATGTAGCTCATCCACCCTTTCTATCGAGACGAAGTAGGTATGCCCTACGAAGTAAGATGTGTAGACGCTCGTACAGTCCCCGTCACACGCCTGACTCCGAGTAAGTCTCATAGGAATATATAGACTGCTTGAAACAAGTTACGAAACCCGTCGAATCAATAGAAGTTGGTGCTGCTCTACGAACAATTGCAGCCTTGTTGTTGGTGTACTGCTGTCGCACAGTGCTGACCTTTGGTTGGCCGTATTGTTTAGTCACCGCACTGTGCATGGTACCTATCATGGCGGCATGATCTGTACAACCTAGCAGGAAACATGTGGCGAGCAATACCCGTTGGACGTTGAAAGAGAGTCAAGGCTCAACCGACTACAATCCCACCCATGCAAATGGGATTTGTCGCCGATTGGATGACCCCAACCCGTGTCGGTCGGGGGCGTTCCGTAGAGGGTGGTTTTGTCCTATCAGCGATCGGGACGACGGTAAAAAAAACGCCCACGACAACATAACATAGACAAAAACTGCGACGTTTCGGATGCCGAGATACTCCACAGCATCTGTCTGACTCTTATCCGTATGAGCCTTACGCTGATGAAGATTACTTCTACACACCAGGGTCAGCCCAGCGGTATATTCCACTATCGTTAACCCCTAGGCCTCATGGGTTCGTGCAAAAATCGTCGGTCTATACCCCGTAGTGCTACCCTCGCATTCGACTCTTTTTCTGTACTTCATGCCTTGCAGTGGAGGATATGGAGTTCATAGGGTTTCAGCGAGGCTGGCGTTCGCGGTGACACTGTGGAGGCTGGCGGCACCGACGACTTTGATTCGCGACAGGATACTTTGGGGGATGTCAGAGGCGCTCATGTGCGAGATCTTCAACCTAACAACCGAGGCAATCTTCGAACGCTGGGGTGATCTTGTGAATGACTTGCAAGTAAACGCCATCCTTCCCAAAACCGATTCGTTCTGCGAGGCCATTGCCGGCCGCGGATCACCTCTCACTAGGTGCTGGGGATTCCTAGGTGGAACTATTCGTAAGATTGCTCGTCCTTGACGAAATCAGCGCAGTGGCTATAACGGATGGAAGCGTGTACACTCGTTGAAGTATCAGGCGGTAGATTCCCCGGATGGCATCAACTTTGGGGTCCTATACTCGGTAGGTGAGGTTGCTGGGGCTAAGTGGGCTGTTGGAGACGTTGATGCAGTCATTCAACGATGCGGCGGGCGCACCGTACTACATTTACGGAGACCCAGCATACCAGGTATCCCCATGGCTGATGGCGCCTTACAAGGGCTTGTTGTCTGTTGCCGAGGTGGCATTCAACAGGGCGATGAGTAGAGTAAGGGTGACTGTCGAATGGGGCTTCGGCCGGGTCGTGGCGTTGTGGCCTTTCGTCGACTACGTGAAGAAGCAGCAGGTAGCCCTCAGCGCATGCGGTCTTGGAAAGCAGTACGCGGTGGCTAGTATCCTGACGATTTTCCACTGTTGTTTCTACCCAAACTCGACAGCGAAATGTTGACCTTACCCCCCCTTCCCTCCAAAAATATCTTTGGGGAGAGGGGTGACAACGTGTGTCTCACTAACTTGCATGGGACTGCAGGAAGTAGTGTAGTTGGCACCGCACTGTCCCGTAACATCCTGCACATGGCAATATCGACGTGAGGTATAGGGGTTGTTTTCTCGTCCTTTTCTATTTATTTGCCTTTTTGTTTCTCGTTCTTTCTTCCTGTTAGACCGAAATCGTTTGCCTGTATCCGGGTTAGTTGTTCTTTAGGTGTCCTTTTTTGTTTGGGCAGAAAACGAATCGTGCCTTGGAGGAATTTTCTTGTGTCCATTGTCACGTCTTTATTTCTTAAAAAGGTGCACCCCGTTTGGGGGTAGGTGGCTCGTGGTCACGGGAGGTGTCCGCGTCAGTTGGACTAGTACAAACATTAGAAGGCACCGAGTGAAGCCTTTGCGTTTGGTCATGTGAAGACAACCTCAAGTACAAATATTGCATTTTCAAAATTTTCTTTTTAAACGAGATGTATGACTTGGCCGTGACGGGGTGCGTCACGAAAAGTCGTGCCCAAAATCGTTATACTTGCCGATGCACTTGGGTGAACACAGTCCTATCCGAACGGCGCCTGCAGACGAGATAACCCCACATGCTGCGCACGTCAGAGGTCGAGTACAAAGCGAACAATTCGTAGTGCACAAAGTCCTGGTGAAAGCGGACGAATTACGCGGATTGTGAAGTATCTCAATAAGTGTTTTTTAGTCTAATGTTTTTGGCAACGAACCTCCGGTTAGCCAGCGCAGCACTAGGCTCAGGTAGACCGGGCTTGATCACTGGGGCCGATCCGTTACGGGACGATTTCACGGCAATCATCAAGCCTGGTCCACCTGACCCTACTATTACACCTACCCTTCGGAGAAGAATCTTACTAAGGCACCAAATCGCCCCCACGTATGCCACCTCTCGGACGAAATCGGAACCATGTATGCCAACGGAAACTGGCAACAGTTATCCATGTGCTGGAAGTACGACGGCATGCGCTACAAGAACAAGCGATCGAACGAAACAAAATACCGACAACCTACATACGTGCCCTTCCGCGAAGGAATAAAGCAAGCCATTTGGGTTGTTAACCCAAAAGAACACGGGTCCCTAAAAAACAAGACTACAATCGAAAACAGCAACGCAAAACCAACCATAGAGCAACACGCTCGAAAAACATTCTCGGTGGTGCACGCAGCTGCACGACATGAACGAAGCAGGACAACCGAAGTGTAGACAGATCGACATGTTCGGGTTCGAAAAACAAAACACCGACAAAGCGACAGTGACTGCACTCAGACCAACACCCTGCGGGCAACAAATTATGACAAGGATGACAACAACACAGGACAGGTCTACGACCTCTTCTGCAAACTTAAAAGAAATGTGACAAGTCACAGCAAAAGCAGTTGCCCGATACATGGAGCCACTTACACCAGCACAACCACGGGATTGGTGCGTGCCGTGCTCGAATTGACCAGGTCAAACTGGCTTTTGTAAACGGCACCCATACCCTAGTGGCAACAACACTTGCCTGTGGGCAACGCAAACGAATCAAAAGGACCAACAGTTCCAGGCACTGGGCGCCTAGGCAATATTTGAGGCAAAACATGACCAGAAACGAGCAGTGACGTCGACCTTGCAACAAGGAAGTGGTTTGGGAACGATAGGACAAACTTCTGTAAAGGCTAACGAAGAAAATAATAGCGACAAGCTGCAATCAAACTTTAACCTCGACTTCAAGACGAAAAGACCTCCCGGACATGCATAACCCCCCCCCTTAATTTTATGCGTGGACAATACGACACGTCACCAGAAGTGCCCGACAAAACACCGACCCTACCTACAGTCTACCCCACATCCCTTGCTTGACCAGAAACGAGCAGTGACGTCGACCTTGCAACAAGGAACTGGTTTGGGAACGAAAGGACAAACTTCTGTAACGGGTAACGAAGATAATATTAGCGACAAGCTGCAATCAAACTTTAAACCTCGACTTCAAGACGAAAAGACCTCCCGGATCTACCTAACCCCCCCCCTTAATTTTATGCGTGGACAATACGACACTGCCCGACAAAACACCGACCCTACCTACAGTCTACCCCACATCCCTTCCTATCCTACCTAAAGTGTACCCTCCTCGAGAAAAAAATGAAAAAGGATAAAAAAAAATAAGAGAGGACAAAACAAAAAGAGTCAGATGAGCTTTCTACAGAGGCAATAAACCGCACTACGGTTGCAGAGTCCAATACGACTCGCAATTGAAAAAAAAACGCACAGGAAAAAAAAAAAGAAGACAAGCTGTTCCATGGAGACAAGACGGCAGAGCGGACAAGTACTTGGTAGGCTAACCCTAACGCTTTCGGCCTTGGGCTTCGCGTTGCGCCTGCCGCTGCGTCGAGGAGATCGTCGCGGCCGCGTGGCCGGGCCTAGCCTTCTTCCGCGCACGCGGTTCGGCTGCCTTCCCCTCAGCCTGAACCTGTGGCATAGGCGCGGCTGGGTCGAGGAACTTGTGGAAGTTGCACATCTGATTCCGGTCGAACTTGGGGCAGGTTACGTACTTTTGTCCCTTGTTCGTGCCCTGGAGGACGCAGAAATACAGGCGCATGGAGTTTAGAGGGCGATGTCAATGTGTGGGAGAGCATTTGGGCGGGGGGGGGCTCAGGGATTGCGGACAAAGCACTATGAGCCGAGCGAGAGGGGCACACGGGCGTTAGGCCAACGTCCTAAGCATGAGCCAACTACGCCATCACCAGAGTTCGAGAAGCCTGCCGGAAAAAATAACACACCCTAAACCCGACGAGAACGTACTGGTGCAATCCCGAAACGAAGCGCATGGACAGAGGCAGGGGGGGAGGGGGGCTTTTGGGGGTTCCGCACCTGATGCGGGACTAGTTCGCGGACGTTTCTACAACATTCAAATGACACCAGTTCGTCAATGAAAGGCCACAACACCCCCCTTACTCCTTTCAGATGTAGACAAAAACCCCAAAGCATGTGTGCAACAGACGCACCGACTTCACCTCACTGTGGGATGCCGGAAGACCACACTCGCAGAGCGGCTGTCCACTCGCGGTAGGCGCAGCCTTCCGCGGGGCCCTAACCCGGGCTGCACCGCCCGCTGCGACTGCAGAGGTTGCACCAGTCGCTCGTCCGCAATATGAAGCACCGAAGCTCGGAAGACGTTCCCCCCCCTCCTGCGGACGAGGCATCACCGACGTAAGCGAATTGTCCGCCCCCAGCAACCACGGGCAACGCCCTTGCACCCGCCGCGGTTGCACCCT